ACCGACCGTACCGTACCGTACCGTACCGTACCGTACCGTACGTACCGTACCGTACCTACCTACCCTTCCTCCTTCCTTACCTACCGTACGTACGTAGTAGGTAGAGAGAGAGAGAGAGAGAGAGAGAGAGAGGTGTGAGAAAGTTGACTCAAATCGAGAGCCCCAATCCCCTTTCTCTCTCCCCCACGGTCTGCAATTCCCCCCCCCCCTCTCTCTCTAACATGGCGGAGTTCCAGAGCTCTCAACCCTATCCTCCTCGGTGTCAGCCTTCTCGCCGTTTGCCTGATTTTTTACAGAGCGTGAACCTCAAGTACGTGAAGCTAGGGTACCATTACCTCATAACCCACCTCCTCACCCTCCTTCTCATCCCTTTAATGGCGGTCATCTTAGTCCAGGCCTCTCAGATGAACCCAGATGACGCTCTGGAACTTTGGGTTCACCTTCAATATAATCTCGTTAGTGTTCTTGTTTGCTCCGCTTTCCTTGTGTTTGGCTCCACGGTCTATATCATGACCAGGCCTCGTCCAATCTACCTCGTTGATTACGCCTGCTACAAACCACCTTCTCATCTCAAGGTCGCATTCGCTCAATTCATGGAGCACTCGAAGCTTTCTGGCAAATTTGACGAGCCTGCCCTAGAGTTTCAGAGGAAGATTTTGGAGAGGTCAGGTTTAGGAGAAGAAACGTATTTCCCTGATGCCATGCATCAATTGCCTCCTCGCCTGTCAATGGCGGCTGCCAGAGAAGAGGCGGAGCAAGTCATGTTTGGTGCCCTTGATAAGCTGTTCTCGAACACGAGGATTAGACCCAAAGATGTCGGGATTTTGATCGTGAATTGCAGTCTCTTTAACCCAACACCTTCCCTCTCTGCCATGATTGTGAACAAGTACAAGCTCCGGGGGAACATCAGGAGCTTCAATTTGGGGGGAATGGGGTGCAGTGCCGGTGTTATTGCCATAGATCTCGCAAAGGACCTTCTTCAGGTTCATGGGTCCACTTATGCAGTGGTTGTGAGCACTGAGAACATTACCCAAAACTGGTATTTTGGGAACAAGAGGTCTATGTTGATTCCCAATTGCTTGTTCAGAGTTGGGGGATCAGCTGTTCTTCTCTCCAACAAGAGCTCAGATAAGAGACGCTCCAAATATGAGCTTGTTCATGTGGTGAGAACCCATAAGGGAGCTGATGATAAGGCCTTCAGATGTGTGTATCAGGAACAAGATGAGACGGGTAAGCCGGGAGTTTCTCTATCCAAAGATCTCATGGCGATTGCAGGTGGTGCTCTCAAGACCAACATTACAACGCTCGGCCCCTTGGTCTTACCCGTTAGCGAGCAGCTCCTCTTCTTTGCTACCCTTGTTGCAAAGAAGCTCTTGAATGCCAAAATCAAGCCTTATATCCCTGATTTCAAGCTCGCATTTGAGCACTTTTGTATCCACGCAGGTGGCAGAGCTGTGATTGATGAATTGGAGAAGAATTTGCAGCTTCTCCCTGGTCATGTCGAGGCCTCAAGGATGACACTTCACAGGTTTGGTAACACTTCTTCGAGCTCAATTTGGTATGAATTGTCATACACTGAAGCCAAGGGGAGAATGAGGAAGGGGCATAGGGTCTGGCAGATAGCTTTTGGGAGTGGGTTCAAGTGTAACAGTGCAGTTTGGAAGGCGCTCAAGACTGTGAAGCCATCACCTGATGGACCATGGGAGGACTGCATCAATGAGTACCCTGTTCAGATTTTGGATGGAGGATTGCATCAGTAAGTCCTCTGTTCGATTTTCGATGGGTTTGTGCATTGAGAATTGGGACTTGGGAAGGTGGGGGTACTTGGATTTGGTATTAGGTTCTTGTTAGGCTTGTGATTCTGACTGGATAGGGTCTGCCTACTTAGTTTCTGTATTTTTTTTCTTTTATTTTAACGTAGCTGTGTGATCGTCTGGGGTTTTCGATTTAGTGACTCTCTCTCAACTTCTAATTTTCCGGGTCATTGTTGTGTAAAAACTTGGATTCTTAGGTTGCCATTCTTGCATCCAGTGTAATGGGAATGTTCCAAATTGGATATTCTTGAATGAGATGGAAAGCAAGTTGGTGAGTTTCATTCAGTGCCTTTGCCATGGATGGTCTTTTTCTGTATTTTCTTTTGATAATTTCGCTTACACGTGACCTTTTGAGTGTATTGACCATACGTTGATTCAAAATATCAATATAAACAGGAAAAAAAGAAAAGGGCAAAAAAAAACAGTGACTTAATTCATATGAATTGCGTCGACACAATGGCCATTTTTTAAATAATAGTGACTTAATTCATATGAATTGGGTTGACACAATGGCCAATTTTAGTGTGCTATTTTTATGGTGGAAAATTTTTGACTGGTTAGTTGTTCTATGGAAATCAATTGATTTTTTGCTTTTTTAATGTGCTCTGCTTAAAACTTTTCCAGATCTTGTGATCAAAACATATGGATCTGTTCCCTTTTCTCTTTTGCTTTTCTCCTCCGTTTTGGGTGAAGATGGTGATGATGATGATGGACACTTCATCTCATGTGCTTTTGCTTTCCATTTTTTTATTTGTACCAGAATAACAAATAGATCCAGTATATTTTCCTTTAGATGCTTATCCATGGTGTACTTTCTGTTATCTTTTCTAAATAACAACCAATGAACCTCATGGTGATCAGATATAAGGGATGTCCGTCCTCCTTGATAGAGTTCTCAATACCCCGAAAGAGATAATACTAAAAAAGAATTGTATGTTCTTTTGTCCTTAATTTTACGTCACTTTCTCCGCTTAATCTTGAATTCATGAAAGTGCCTCAGTGAAACCAATCATTTTGGTTTTTCGGTTCTAAACTTCACTAACCTGGCTATGTCATTTCTGCAATGTAGCAGATTCTGTTCTCTCATTGGAGATCTTAAACCTCTTTGGCTGATCCTGGTCAAATTACTACATCTTCAACCTTACGTGTTTCTGTGCTTGGCTTGGTTGCTTAAGCTCTAGCCAGTGCCTTCTGTAGAATAATTAGTTCAGATAGTTATTTTCGTATTGTTAGGTTTCCTTTTGGATCAACATGTCATTTTTCAACCTAATCCCCCACCCCCTTTCTCTTTCTATCACAATTGCAGTCCTTTCTCTCCATTCTCTCTCCTGAATTACTCCAACAACTCCCCCCCCATTAAATACCCAAGTTCCTCTCTCTTTCTCTCCCCCCCCCAAAATACTGAAACTCCTCTCTTCCTCTCTTCCTCTCTTCTCTCTCTCCTAAATTATTATGCCAGCTACTCTCTCTCTCTTCCCCTCAGCGTGTCCATCTCCTCCCATAGACAAGCACAAATTGGATATTAAATTATAATTAATCTTAAAATCCTTCCAACTGCTCGTCGCCCCCATTTTATATACTCTGCTATGCAGATGCATCCACCCCTGATGTGCTATATAACCTCTCTTCTCTTCTTTTCTCCCCTCCTCTTACAATTCTAGAGAGAAAGAGAGAGAAGTTTGAGAAAGTTGACTCAAATCAAGAGCCCCAATCCCCCTTCTCTCTCCCCCACGCTGTCACGTTCTGCAATTTCCCTCTCTCTCTCTCCTCCCCCTAACATGGCGGAGTTGCAGAGCTCTCGACCCTATCCTCCTCCTCCTTGGCTTCAGCCTTCTCGCTGTTTGCCTGATTTTTTACAGAGCGTGAACCTCAAGTATGTGAAGCTTGGGTACCATTACCTAATAGCCCAACTCCTCACCTTCCTTCTCATCCCTTTAATGGCGGTCATCTTAGTCCAGGCCTCTCAGATGAACCCAGTCTCGTTAGTGTTCTTGTTCTTTCTGCATGCTTAGTCTTTGGCTCCACAGTCTATATCAGGAGCCGGCCTTGCCCAATCTACCTTGTTGATTACACTGCTACAAATCACCTTCTCATCGTATGGTCACCTTCGCTAAATTCATGGAGCATTCGAGGTTTTCCGGCAAATTTGACAAGCCTGATCTAGAGTTTCAGAGGAAGATTTTGGAGAGGTCAGGTTTGGGAGAAGAAGCATATTTCCCTGAGGCCATGCATCACTTGCCTCCTCGCCTGTCAATGGCAGCTGCCATAGAAGAGGCAGAGCAAGTCATGTTTGGTGCTCTCGATATCCTGTTCTTGGACACAAGGAATAGACCAAAAGAAGTCGGAATTTTGATTGTGAATTGCAGTCTCTTGAACCCGACACCTTCTCTCTCTGCCATGATCGTGAACAATTACAAGCTCTGGGGAAACATCAGGGGCTTCAATTGGGGGGTATGGAGTGCAGTGCCAGTGTTATTGCCCTAGATCTCTCAAAGGACCTACTTCAGGTTCATGGGTCCACTTATGCAGTGGTTGTGAGCACCAAGAACATAACCCAAAACTGATATTTTGGGACCAAGAGTCTATTGTTGATTCCCAATTGCTTGTTTGGAGTTGGGCGATCAGCTGTTCTTCTCTCCGAGCTCAGATAGAGACGCTTCAAATATGAGCTTGTTCTTGTGGTGAGGATCCATAAGGGAGCTGATGATAAGGCCTTCAGGTGGGCGTATCAGGAGAAAAATGAGATGGGTAAGCCAAGAGTTTCTTTCTTAAGATCTCATGGCGATTGCAGGTGGTGCTTTTAAGGCCAACATTACAACTCTTGGCCCCTTTGTCTTACCCGTTAGCGAGCGGCTCCTCTTCTTTGCTACCCTTGTTGCGAAGAAGCTCTTCTATGCTAAAATCAAGCCTCAAATCCCTGTTCTCAAGCTCGCATTCAAGCACAGTATCTATGCAGGTGGCAGAATTGTGATTGATGAATTGGAGAAGAATTTGCAGCTTCTCCCTGTCCATGTCGAGGCCTTAAGGATGACACTTACAGGTTTGGTAACACTTCTTCGAGCTCAATTTGGTATGAATTGGCATACACTGAAGCCAAGGGGAAAATGAGGAAGGGGCATAGAGTCTGGCAGATAGGTTTGGGGAGTGGGTTCAGGTGTAACAGTGACTATGAAGCCATCACCTAATGGACCATGGGAGGACTGCATCAATAACTACCCTGTTCAGATATTGGATGGACGACTGCATCAGTGAGTACTCTGTGTTCAGAATTTCTATGGGTTTTTGCATTAATTAAGAATTAGGACTTGGGATGGTGGGGTTGCTTGGATTTGTTGATAGATTCTTGTTACGCTTGTGATTCTGACTGGGTAGGGTCTGCCTGCTTAGTTTTTTTTCCATTTTTTTTAATTTATCTGTGTCACTATCTGGGGTTCTCGATTAAGTGAATCTCTCACTCTCTCTCAACTTCTATTTTTCTGGGTCGTCTTCATTGGTGTGTAAAAACTTGGAGTCTTAGGTTGGCATTCTTGCACCCAGTGTAATGGGAATTTTCCAAATTGGATATTTCTTAAATGAGATGGAAAGCAAGTTGGTTAGTTTCATTCAGTGCCTTTGCCGAGGATGGTCTTTTTCTGTATTTTCTTTTGATAATTTCGCTTACACATGACCTTTTGAGTGTATTAACAATACGTTGATTCAAATTATCAATATATAGGGGAAAAAAAGAAAAGGGGAAAAAAATTACTTGATCATATGAATTGGGTTGACAGAATGGCCATATTGGGTTGATAGAATAGCCATATTTTGCGTGCTATCTTTATGGTGGAGAATTTTTGACCGGTTAATTGTTCTATGGAAATCCATTGATATTTTTTCTTTTGTAATGTGCTCTGCTTAAAACTTTTCGAGATCTTGTGATCAAAACATATGGATCTGTTCCCTTTTCTCTTTTGCTTTTCTCCTCTGTTTTGAGTTCATGAGCACCTTTATGTAAAGCTTAAAAGTGAAGGTGGTGATGATGATGGACACTTAATCTCATGTGCTTTTGCTTTCTATTTTTTTCTTTGTACCAGCAAAGCATATAAATCCAATATATTTTCTTTTAGATGATTGTGCATGGTGTACTTTCTGTTATCTTTTCTAAATAACAACCAATGAACCTCATGGTGATCGGATATAATTATGGGGATGTCAGTCCTGCTTGATAGAGTTCTCAATAGCAAAAAAAGATGATAAATATTATATCACTTTCTCCACTTACTCTTGAATTCATGAAAGCACCTCAGTGAAACCAATCATTTTGGTTTTTCGGGTCTAACCTTCGGCAACCTGCCTACGTCATTTCTATTATGTAGCAGATTCTGTGCTCTCATTGGAGATCTTAAACTTCTTTTGGCTGATCCTGATCAAATTACTGGATCTTCAACCTTGCGTGTTTCTGAGCTTGGTTTGGTTGCTCAAGCTCTAGTAGTGCCTTCTGTAGAATAAATAGTACAGTTAGTTATTTTTGTATCGTTGGGTTTCTCTTGGATCAACATGCCGTTTTTCTTTTGTTATGGTGCTGAAACCTTTGGTTTTGTATGCGTTTTTTTCTTTGGATTACTTTGGATTACGCTCTATAAGAGTATAGGGAAAATTTCATCTGTAACCTTAATTCCCTATCTCATTTCACAGTATATCCTCTTGCTTTTTTACTCTCAAGCGGCATAACGTGCCGCCCCATCTCTTATCTCTTTGTTTATTCACTTTTGAATATGCAAGTTAGCCTCAACAAATTATTTTATACCACTTTAACCTAAAAACTTTTTCTTACCATGTTTTTACCCTTTTCAACCGATCAGATCTCCTGCTTTCTCATTTCACCACGGTGAGTTCTCTCTCTCCACTTTGGCAAGGGCTCTCTCTCAATTCATCACTATGCTAACCCTAACGCCCTACTCACCTCTATCCCTCTCATGGTAAGTCTCTCTCTCCCTAAATTTTACAGCAGGTTCATCTCTCTTAATCTCTCTCTCTAATGGCCAACCCCCAAACTCTTAAATCTTTCTCCATCTAATGCACTGACCTATATTTCTCTCTCTAACCTTGTGTTTAAAGAAATAAAGGAATTGGCTGCAAACTTTAGATAGAGACTTACATGTAAGAGGTGGTGCGAGAGAGACTAATATGTGTGAGAGAGAAAAAGAGTCATCAACGTGGTGAATTGAGAGAGTGAGAGATATAATGCATTGAGGGGCTGAAAACGGGAAAAACATAATAAAAAAAAGTTTTTGAACGTGGTGATT